AATAATATAAAAATGCTTAAGTTTTTTTTAAGGGAGACATCTAAATTCTTACCTGATCAAGTTCCCTTTGTCTCAACCACACTTTTAGAAGTATGATTCCATCTTTTATGTTTTTGAAATCTTGCAAAGCTTCAAGTTTTACAGCCTCATTCTGCTTGGCCACAAGATCACCAAGTATGGTTGAATTGTGGAGAGGGGTTGCAGGTTCTTTCCCTACATATTAAATGAAGGGCAAAATTAATATACAGGAAGGATATACACAATGACACAACAAGGCAGAATAATTTACCTTCATCGCTCTTTTCTGTATCAAAGTACCAGTTGGCGCGAACAGAATTTTTACATGGGCTCAGCTTTGAGAGCTTGAAAGTTCCTTCTTGAGCTGTTATATGAATATATACTAGTGCATGACCTTGTAACTGTCCGGCTGGAGCAACAACACCAACAGGAATGAGGGGACTTCCTGCCCGATGTAGCTCGAATCGTGGTTCATGTTCAACACTTGATGAAATGAGGCCTTTCTCTTTTAAGTGTGCTAAGACATGACAAAGGTAAAGGGCTCGCTTGCGTTGATATCTATGGTTTAAGTTGTCGTTGCCTTGGAAACATTTCTGCAAATTTTAAAGGGGATGATTTAGAAAACTTGTATCAGAATTGGTAAAAGATAATTAATCCAGCATATTGTAGACAAAAGACTCACTGATGGCATTTCAACAGCAATATCTACATTCATGCGCGGCCCAAGGCTGCATCCAGCAGCATACGAACCCATCACAGATACTGACGTAGGAGGTAGAAAACTGAAAACACCTTTCACTGAATGCGGCTTCTGGACAAATGGTACTGATATTCCAATTTTCTTCAGCCACTTTTGGTCCATTAACTAGAGCAAACAACTAGATCAACACATGAACTAAAAAAGCTAATCAAATAATTTTGAAGAACTCACTACAAATATTACCTCATATTGTTTCCCTGGTTTCATTTCAGAGAGAATTTTTTTCACAGATGCAAACCAATCAGTAAACGACGTAATCCTCTTCTTTTTGATGCTTAGCTCACTAATCATCTCATCAATTTGTAATCGAAAGAGATTTGAATGGAACAGATTCTCAGTTTCTCGAAGCCGAGTCATTTCTTGAGCTGTTGGAGGTTTTTGCAGTTCTGCAGATGTTTTAGTTTTCTTACGTTTCTTAGATGATACTGCATCAGTCCCATTAAGAGTCTAAACCAAAGTCCACACATTAGTATTTTACAGTGAAATTATGAAGTTTCAGTAGATATTATAGTTGTCCAATATTGATGAGAAGAAACATCCAGATATAGTTGGGCCAGTGTTACTTTGGTCTTTGGTTCTCATAAGCAGCAATGGCGCTGCCCTGCAATCCGAAGACCAAGGTAGTGCTGGGCCGACTATAACCAGGAAAAACAGTTAACATTTACTCACTTCGGAACACCTTCTTTTACGAGTAGACTGATCATCATTATTATCACCCTCAAGAGCTTCAACAATACCATCATCATCCTCATCATCATCTTCATCAGAGAAATCGCTCTCCGCTTCACCAACATCTGTGTGCCCGTTACCCTTATCAGCATCCATACTCTTTTGAAAATCTCCAAGATTGACTCCAAATTCCATGTCTTCAGCATCATCAGAGTCTGATGATCCTTCGTCCGAAACAGGTACTTGTTTTTTGGCCGGCTTCGATTTCTGTAATGAAGGCACAGGGGTTAAAAATACTGTGATAACAGCAAGTATTGTCAAAGAGACATCGATGGAACCCTATTAAAAATGAGCTTGGCAGATATTAGATTTTTCACAGTATTCAGACGTCTGAAAATGGGGCTATTTTACCATTTTGCAAAGTATTAGTATACAATCCACGTGATGTTGAGGTTTTGGTTAGAATTATAACTACATAAAGAGAAAAGCTTCAGTAATGAAGGTCAAACTGTACGTTACCTGGTGTTTGAGGGGTCGGGATTTCTTAAATTTGCCTGCCATATTTAGAACAAATACAAAATGCACCGATAACACAAGAAATACTTAAGCGTTGGGATTGTTTACATCAATCTAACCCCACATGTGGCACAGGTGGAGCATGGGTATGAAAAGTTCAGATGTGTGAATTTCTCATACACAACTACATGCTTTTCTGCCCGGGAAAATTCGAATGAAGCGGGCAGTGTAAACGGGGCGCGGCCCGGTACCTCTACGGAAACTACATTTAATCCACCTTGCTTTAATCTTGTTTAGAGGAAAATTAGGTTCACAAAAAATATAACTGTAACGCGAATGTCATGAATTTATCTCTAGGAAAATTGAATCGAAGCTTAAGAGGCTTTCGAAGCTGTGAATCACCTCCGTGCAACCGGCAGTGAAAGTATAGAGCCGCGATCATTTTAACTCTAAAATAATAGTTTAAAAAAATCAGAAATGTGGGCCCTACCCACCCCGCTTTTGCACCGGGACCCGCCTTCTGAAGTTTGGAGTTCGGAATGGGATCCGTTTTGAGGCTCGCCGGACATAGCGACCACGTATTCACACCTGTCCGGAGGGGTGCAGAGGGAGTTAGAAAGAGACTCTTTTAAGAGACAGGCGTACGGCTGTGAGCCAGATACGACTAACGTCTCTTGAGTTTGTCTAAGGTCTATTTTTGGACATTTTAGACGTCTCTAACGCAAGTAGCGCCGCACCACTCCCCACTTGGAGAGACTCTAGCAGCGGCGGAAGCGATGGGGCGGGCCGGCGGCCGGCTGCCAGCGCCCAGCGCCTGCCTAGGCACCTTTGCGCACTGACCTGTGGACCTGTGTTATATTCAGTTAAGAAAAGTCTACCGGGGGCGGCGCGCCCCGGGGCGTAGACTAACAGCGGGGTCTGGCGGCGTGGCGGAGCGTGGATCGTTGGTGTCTCCCGCCCCGGATCCACGCTACGCCACGCCACCATGCGGTACAGTGAATAATTCAAAATAATAAAGGAAGGGGCTCTATGGACCACCCTGTATGGTGCAATGGCTCGGTTTTATCGGGCGGATGTGGAGCGTGCCCATCAGCCCGTCACGTCAACGCCTGTGCGTGGGCCGCTGTCCAGACTGGACGTCCAGTCCGGCGGGGAGGACCGGGAGGACTCCCGGTGCGACCGCCGAACCGGGCTGACCTCAAACATGCTGCTGCTGCTGGCTATCGTGGTGCTGCTGACGAGCTACTGCGAGGTCGAGCCCGCCACCAAGTGGATCAACTCGTTTGCGGTGAGGGGCGGTGCAACAGCTCGACATTTGTGTTTTGTGAGGAAACGAAGGAACAGAAGTCGCAGCAGTCTGGCGCCACTCTTCATTGATGTGTGATATTGCACCGATCCCGCAGGGTCCGTGGGTCGCCACTTTGGGTCCACTCAAACAATGCCCGGGAGGTAGGGAGGACGACGTAGTTCGGTTCAATCTACTGATCAGTCAATTCCGACATCCTTCGGTAGATGCGCAAAAGATGGTACAAAGACTCTCCGGGAATGTTACAGTCGACCAACAGCTGAATAACAAAGGCGCGGTATGGTGGTAGATCAATGAAGGTTACTATAATTTTAATAATCTACCCCGTTTAAGAATATCAAATTCTGAACCGGGTGGATATTTTTTTTCTTCACTGCCAAACTTCAGGAGAATGGGGGGTGCATTACATATCACCTTTTGCAAGCTGAAGGGGACGCAGATGACCCCTACCCAGATCAGGCAGGCTGTTGTTGGAAACTTCTTTCAAAATTGTTAATGAGCTATTTAGCCGATACGAAATCGGCAGGAAGAAGAAGCCGTGGAGCCAAACAAACATTCAATTGTTCTGGTTTAAAGCAGACGAATTCATCGAAAAATTGAATGTTTGTTTGGCTCCACGGCTTTCTTCTTCCTGTCGTTTTCGTATCGGCTAAATAGCTCATTGGTCACCAATTTATTGGGGTGCAGAAAAGTAATTGCCTACAACAATATTAATTCAAGCTATTAACAGAAAAAAACCCCTCTCAAAAACGTGAATAATCTATCCCCGCAAAGATCCTAAAGGATTATAAGTGAGTGCCTACGCAAAGTTTTATTTTAAACTGAACTATGCGAACAAATTTGAAGAAATCGAACCCCTCGCTTAGTGCCATCGAACGATATAAAACTGAAGTTTGTCAATCACGAAAAAAAGTACCCTGTTCACATTTAACTTTACTGTTTGGCACGAAAAATGTTTTGACCCCTAGTCAATATTGCGAGCTGCAACCAGAAGCAACAACCAGTGGAAGGAGAACGCAATGGTTTTAAAGTTTGCTATTGGATGTTGCCAATCACTGATGGAGTACTTCCCCGACTTCACTAGAAACATATACAAGCTCGAACCGAATGAATACCAGAAAGGTGGAAAACCCTGTATCATTCCAAAGGTGAGTTCAGTTTTGAATCACGACTGAAACTATTTCCCAAAGTCTCGCCAAAAGAGAAGCACAGCGCATACTATACTCAGCCTAAGCAGGGAATATTTTTCATTTATGCCAGGGCATCTACTACGCTGATGAGGAGCCAGTAAATTGGACCATACCTAAGGTGCCGGTGCTACCTTACGGCTTATGGCGGCTGCAATTCTCTTTCGACTTGGGAACAGAATCAAATCCAAAGCGTATTGGGTGCTTTATAACGGAGGCCACAACGCACCCCAGGCTGTAGTCTGCTGCTGCGGCAGCTGCCTCACTTCCGCGGAACGCTCGTGTCGTATATATTTTTGCCGTTAGTATTATATAATATGTTCATGCTTTTGTTAGTGTTCTTGTTTAATGATAATGTATACAAGCCAATAGGCGTGTATACCCTATAGGATTGTGCAGCGGCAGAATATCTGTAATTTTGTTTCAGACGAAAGGTTGGAAAATATATTCTTGGTCCCGCTCGGAAGTTGCCACGCATTATTCATACTGCAGTCCAACTCTTTATTTAACGGAGAGGAAGAGTGAGGGGGCGGGTGAGCCTCACGTACGTCCTCAGTAACTGCGCAACTCGAGAGGAGCGCGCAGGGTGCTGGGTGCAGTACGCCCGAGTAGAGCACGTTGCCTATCCGGGACTCGGTGGGCGCAACCCCGCAGCGGCCAGTAGTCCTCATTAAATGGAATTTTTTTTTGTGGCAAAGGTGTAGACAGGTTACTTTTCAGAAGGCATCTAATAGTTGTTGCATCTTTTACATTAAATAATTACTTTATTTAAACATATCAGGGCGGGGGGCTTAGAGTTCCGGGTAGCAGTTCTTGGATCGGTGCGGCCGCCGGTGGCGGAGCCGCTTCACGTCCTCCAAGGGCACGGACCTGGGTCACGGGGAGAGAGAGAGAGAGAGAAGAATTAGGCCATCAGTCATCGGTAACTCGTCCAGGGTCCGGGGGCGGGGGCGCGATTTGTATCGGAGGTCGGCGGGCTCCCTACAGCTAAGCGGAAGAGGAATCGCGGGCATGGAGCGGGGAAGCGATCTGATTGGGTCGTGAGGTGGTGGTGGGTCTCAGGCGACCAATAGGGTGAGGCCATCTCGAGTGACGTGGCGGCGGCAGGAAATACCGAAATATACTACTTTCTTGACGCAGACTATAGTAATATGTCTATTATTGCTTCCGGCCGTGAGAAACGAGATTCAATCTGCAAGGTCAGCCCTTCATCATATGTGAAATCTGTTCGCGAGCATGCCAAGTCAAAAGTAGTGCCCTGCGAGGAAAGTGTGTCTTGGTGTTTAGAAAATGGGGCGTGGGCCTTACTACTGTGGAGGGGCGCTAGCTCCTGGGCTACTCTAGATATGGTCTGCTCACGTGGAAAGGATGGGGAGGATCTGCTTGTAGAGGCGTCGGACGGGCGTCAGGAGCACGCCGTCACCGTCCCGGCGCAGAGAGTCCATGACGCCGCGGTAGCCGGCGACGGCCTGGCGCTGCGCCGCGCTCAGCTGCGACGCGACGGCGGGCGCGGGGCTGTCCAGGGTGACGGAGAGCAGGCTGGCGAGCTGCGTCTCGAAGCCGACGCCCGGCAGCAGGTAGCCCAGGCCGTCCGCCATGCAGCGCGCCATGTACTCCCAGGGCGGCGGCGCGGCCCGCAGGCCGGGCAGCACGATGGTCGAGAGCACCTCGCGCGAGCGCCGCACGGTGGGCTCCAGCCCGCCCTGGCAGAAGTTGAATCTGCGCAGAGAGTGACAAACTCTTTTCACGGCGCTGCCTTTTGAACTTGGGGTTGTAAATACCATAGAAGTGTCTGAGATGACGTTGTAAATGTATCCTCGTGGGTGGCATTTATCGTAGCAGAAAGTGCGCCCGCTTTTCTCAGATCCATTCGACAAAAATGACGGGGGAGCGCGGCAGCTCGGCGCCTGCGAGGCTCGGGATAGGCCAGCCCGCAGTACACGCGCGCACTGTTGGCAAGACGTTGCCTACCCATCAGGCGCTATGAGAGCTTGCAGAGGCTGAACTCGGCAGGTTCGTAACGGCGAGTGACGGGCGTACTTTCTGGATGGACCCCTTGTAGCGTCTACAATGCTTCTCTCATCAACCCGCCTCCTCTTAAGATTCTTAGCACACTGCACTCCATGTCTGTTTAATATTGTTTTTCCTCGCTTACTTGTCGTCGATGCCGAGCGTGTATCCGATCACCTCCCAGAGGTGCACGAAGCCGTCCAGCTCCTCCACGGTGGCGTTACCGACGCCGTACCGCTCCGGGAACTGGATGATGGGGCCGACGAAGGCCCACTGCGTCACCGACATGTCGTACTGACTCATCCATACTGCTCCTGGCACACCGGTGTCCTGGATAAACACAAGTTGTTGTTT